TGAGGCACCTCTGCCTCAAGTTCCCCGCCAAGGGGGGCATTGGCTACTCCCGGGGGAATCAGAAGATCGCCCGCGCCTGCTATCTTCAGGTCACTAAGAAGGTAAGCTAGACGGAATTCCGTGTTGACACCATCACCGGAACCATCGACCAGGAAGAAAAGAGGCCGAGGGCTGAACCAGCCGAGGACGTAGAAGACTTTGCGCTCGATCCGGCCCAGCCGGAGAGAGTCGTGAAGATTGGAGCCCAGCTCCCTGAAGATCTGAAGACCGGTATCACCGACGCCCTCCGCGCCTACTCCACTGTCTTTGCATGGGGGCCGGAGGACATGCCGGGAATCAGCCGAAGGGTCATCACCCACCGCCTCTCGGTGGACCCCTCGGCAAAAGCAGTACAACAACGAAGAAGACCCCTCTCCGCCGAGAGGAGGGAATTTGTGAAGAAGGAAGTCGCCATGCTCCTCTCCATTAAGCACATCAAGGAGGTGAAATATCCCTCATGGCTAGCGAATGTAGTCCTCGCACAGAAGCCCCCTACCTTCCGCATGTGCGTGGACTACACCGATCTCAACAAAACGTGCCCTATGGATCCATTCCCTCTACCAAATATTGATCAACTGGTGGATGAGACCGCAGGGTGTGAGATCATGTCCTTCCTCGATGCCTTCCGAGGGTATCACCAAATTTTCATGCACGAGGAAGACGCCGAAAAAACTGCCTTCATGACTCCCGAGGGCATCTTCTGCTACCTAGTAATGGCCTTCGGCCTAAAGAAATCAGGGGCCACTTACACCCGGATGGTGGCCCGGGTCTTTCAAGTCGTCCTAGGGCGCACCATGGAGGCCTATGTCGACGACATGATCGTCAAGAGCAAACAATCTTCCAGCCATGCTGACGACCTCCGGGAAATCTTCGCCATCATGCAAAAGTTCAACCTTCGGCTAAACCCGAAGAAGTGCACCTTCGGCGTCCAAGGGGGCAAGTTCTTGGGCTACATGGTGAGCCGAAGGGGTATTGAGGCCAATCCCGAGAAGATCCAGGCCATCATCAACATGGAGCCCCCACGCAGTGTGAAGGAAGTTCAACGGTTGACGGGCCGCCTGGCAGCCCTCATCCGCTTTCTATCTAAATCAGCGGAGAAGTCTCTACCCTTCTTCCAAATCATGAGGAAGACGGCTGGCTTTCTATGGACTCCAGAATGCCAGGGGGCTTTCGACGAGCTCAAACGATATCTATCTTCACCTCCTGTGCTCTCCAAACCCAAGGTAGGGGAGACCCTCTACCTCTACCTTGGGGTCAGCTCGGCGGCTATCAGCTCTGTGCTCATTCGGGAGGAAGACGGCATCCAGCATGCCATCTTCTACGTTAGCAAGACCCTAAGGGAGGCCGAGCTCAGGTACTCCCCTGTGGAAAAAACGGTGTTAGCCATCGTTTGGACTGTCAAGAAGTTGGGTCACTACTTCCAGGCTCACCCGGTTCAGGTCCTCACTCATCAACCCCTCGGTGCCCTCATGAGGAGCCCCACCAGCTCCTCCCGCATGATGAAGTGGGCTATCTTCTTGAGCCAGTACAACATTGACATCCGTCCAAGGCCTGCCATCAAGGGCCAAGCCCTGGCGGACTTTGTGACGGAATGTACCGCAAGGGCAGCCACGGACGGGGAGCCCTCGGCTACCTCGGACGACTGGTGGACCCTCTACACCGACGGCTCCTCCGCGACCAAAGCATGCGGGGGAGGGGTAGTTCTCATTACTCCCGAGGGCTTCAGAGCCTACTATGCAATCCGCTTCTCCTTCAAAGTCTCCAACAACGAGGCCGAATATGAGGCCCTCCTATGTGGCCTTCGGCTGGCTGCCAACATGAGGGCTCGGCAGATCCACATCAAATGCGACTCCAAGTTGGTCGTTGGCCAAATCTCCGAGGAATATGAGGCCAAGGAGGGAAGAATGAAACAATACAAGGAAGCGGCCAAGGAGTTGCTCAAGGTATTTGAGGCACACTCTCTCACTCAAATACCAAGGGCTCAGAACTCCGAGGCCGACATATTATCTAAGCTCTCGGCCGACTCCCCCGAGCACATCTCCAAAATTGCCAAAATTGAGGAACTCAGCCTCTCAAGTATCCATGCAAGCCCCGTTATGAACATACAACAACGCCAAGAGGATTGGATCTCAGATATCACCGCCTTCATCTCCACAGGGCAGCTACCCGAGAATGAGACCCGCGCTAAACTGGCAAAGCTGAGGGCTCCTAGCTACACCATCGAAGATGGAAGGCTCTACAAACGATCTTACAATGGCACGCTACTTCGGTGCCTTCATCCAGATGAAGCCGAGGTCGCAATGGAGGAAGTGCACAGTGGCACTTGCTCAGCTCACCAGGGACCCTTCTCCATGTCCCGAAGGCTCATTCTCCAGGGCTACTTCTGGCCAACCATGGCCAGGGATAGTGCTGACCTTGCCCGGAGGTGCACCGCATGTCAACATTTCCAAAAAGCCCCCGGCAGGCCAGCGGTCAACTATGCCCCCATCAGCACCTCTGTCCCCTTTTCTCGATGGGGGATAGACCTTGTGGGTCCTCTGCCGAGGGGTACCTCCAACAACAGATACATCATTGTGGCCGTCGACTACTTTACCAAGTGGGTGGAGGCTGAACCCCTCGCCAGCATCACCGAGGCGAAGTGCCATCACTTCATCCTCAAGAACATCCTCACAAGGTTTGGCGTCCCCCAGCAGATCATCTCCGATAATGGGACACAATTTGAGGCAGCCCCCTTCTGTGCCCTTCTGGAGGCATGGGGCATCAAACACACCTTCTCCTCCGTTGCCTACCCTCAAGGCAACGGGCAAGTAGAGAATGCCAACCGGACCTTGATCGAGGGCCTAAAAAAGAAGCTGGAGGCCGAGGGCGGTGGCTGGGTGGAAGAACTCCACAACATCCTTTGGGCCTACCGCACCACCCCTCGGCGAGCAACAGGTGAAACACCCTTCTCCCTCTGCTACGGTTTTGAAGCCAAAGCTCCTACGGAAGTCACCCTTCCCACCCGGAGGGTGATCCAATATGACCCTGAGGTCAACGAAAGCAACATGGCCCTCGACCTCCACCTCATTTCGGAACGCCGGGAGCAGGCCTTCATCCGGGCGGAAAATTACCGAAGGCAAGTCAAAAGCTACATCGACGCCAAAGTTCGCACCAGGGAATTCCAAGTGGGGGATTATGTCCTCCGGAGGAGGGAAGCCAGCCAACCGATCGAGGGAGGCAAAATGGCACCAAAATTCGAAGGTCCCTACATCATAGCAGCCATCATCAAACCTGGAACTTACAAGCTCAAACGTCCCAACGGGAAAGAAGTCCCTACTTGACATGCTACACTTGCAAAAAATTTCTAAGTGCTGTACATTGGGCCCTCGGTCCAATATTCACACATCAGGAAGGAGGCTACCAGCCGAGGGCATCCAAGGGCAAGCTACAATCAGAAAATATTCTGAGTCCTAATTATTGCTGGACCCTCGGTTGTATATCCAGCAGAGGGAGCCCAACTACCGAAGGTTTCACATTTTTGATTCATCGTTGGGGGAATTCGGTGCACTCTTTTTCCCTCATTAGGATTTTTTCCCACGGGGTTTTTCCTAATGAGGTTTTTAACGAGGCATCCCCCCAAAATGAAACGAAAAGTGTCAGCCTTCGGCCCACAACAGCAACGCAACTACTCTACTCCTTTTCACCACTTTACAAGTGCCTCAAGGAGTGGGGGACTGGAGAACCCCCTCGGGAAAATCATTAAATTACAAAATTAGTGTAATTCCAACAAACGACAAAGCAAGCCCTCAAGTCCCGACATGTGGGTAACTGAGGGACTGCCTTCGGCAGGGACATAAAAGCACCAACTTCTCACCAACTTCAGAGATCACGACAGGACAACATCAAAGGGCAAGCACAAATTACTCCTTTTCCCTCAAATACCTTTCGGCAAAAGGAGTGAGGGACTCCTGATGGAGTATATGGCCCGGGAACACCCGGCCCACAGACTCCTACTACTCCTTTAGAGGCCCAGAAGGCCCAACAGGCCCAAATCACGGCACCCAGAGTACCAAGCAGCCCGCAATGCGCACCAGGGGTGCCTTCGGCCCCCTGGCCGAAGGCTCCAAACTATCACAGCATGGATATTTCGAACAAACAGAGGAACTGGGAGAAAACGGCGAAAACAGTAGCCCTCGGCACCTGGAGCCCTCGGCACTCAGAGGCCCTCAGCACTAAGAGCCCTCGGCTAGTCCTCTGCAGCCGAGGGCACCTCTCCCGACATAATATCCGCCTCACATGCGTGCAGATCACCGTACCCTGTACAGACGTCCCATCCAACAGCCGCATTAAATGCGGCCACATGCGGCTGCCAACGCCAACCAGTTGAGGTGACCCCTCGGCCAATAGGCGCTTGACACGTGTCCCTGTCCGGCATTAATTGCTACTATAAATAGCACCTCATTTCCCCATTTGTAACCACGCTGAAAACGCTCCGCATTTATAATACACTCTCTCTCTCTCTACATCTACTTGCTCTGACTTCTCTCTAAGTTATTCCCAGCAATAACCCTTCGGATATATACCCCGGGTAGACTATCCATCATGCACGTCAGGTAACCTAAACGTGAAGCCATCAATCATCAAACCATTTCAGCTTGGCCTAAATTACTCATGCTTTATTAAGAAATAAAAACTTATAATAGTCCTCTTTTGAAATTTTAAATTGTTGTTACCTGGGCATCAATTTGGTTTGTATGTTTCAAGAGTAGTAGCTACTAAGTACATTATCGGTTTGCATTTCATTTTACCTAAGTTGACATCTCTTTTCTTGGTCCAAAAGGTGGAATCTCCCACCTCAGGAGTCCCACCCTGACCCGACAGGATGATGGCGTGGTTAATCCAAAAGTTCACGTCTCTTTTCAATATGATCCACAGAAGGTGTTTTTTTGTTCAACATCCGAGTACATGCAATTACCTGTCAACTTAGGTACACTGGGCTGAGATATTACTATTGGCAGCACATCGCAAGAAGCGAAGAGATAATTCCTGGGCAGCAAAACTGTCATTCTGGGACCTCCGGAAGCGGTGCATGTTTTGTCAGAAATCGATAGAAATCAATAATTGGAGTAGAGAGTAAAGGCGAGAGATCAATATTGCTCTTAAAGCTCGGCCAACCAACTGCATATCCCATGCCATTCATTTCTGCCTCAAACTGCCATCTATTTCTATCTCAAGTCTTTGTGGTTTGTTTCTCACATCTCAAGCCTTCCCCTCCAAGCTCTCATAAATCGTATCCCTCCTTCTCACTTTAAGGTATGCACTCATATTCATGAATTTGTTCAAAATTTGATTTTGTTTATCATTATTCAGAGTTTACTTTATTCAAAAAGGTGGAATCGCTCACTCCAAGTCGGGAGTGCCCGAAAACCCTATTCAAATAGTTCAACCTAAATCCTCAACACAAATGCCCTCATTCAGAACCCGTTGAGCAACTTGTGCGGGCGTGTATAATTATTAGGAGTTTACTCAGGGTTGTAACAACTTTTTTAAATTTACTCACAAGTAAATACATTCAAAACATATATACGTAGTAGTATGTTTCACATAAATAAATTCAAAATTAGCTAAGTACATGAAGTATAATATGTTTAGAAAAATAAAACAAATAGTTAAAAATTATGTCCGGCCTATTTTACGGTCTGATGCGGTCCGATGCGACACCATTGTCGTTTCGTTGCGATTGCGTTGCAGTTTTTTTTGTGATTTCATTTCTTGCCGTTGCGTCCCGCAATTTAAAACCATAAATTTACTCCCTCCATCCCTTTTTACTTAGCCAATCTTGACTTTTCAAGTCAATGAAGTCTAATTTTGACCGATTATATGTTTATATAGAGAAAATATTAATAATACGAAAATCATGATATGAAAATGTTCTTTGTTAAAAATACTATCATAAAAGTATAAAATTATTAAATTTTGCATAAATATATTAGTTTAAATAATTGGTCAAAGTTAACCATCTTTGACTGGAAAAGTCAAAGATGGCTAAGTAAATTGGGACTGAGAGAGTATTATGTCTTTCACTTTGATTTGGTTTCTTCAGTTTGGTTTGGTTTGATTTTGTTATTTTTTAATAATATACTCACCCAGTCCCAAAATAAACATTTCACTTTCCTTTTCGATCCATCCCTTAAAAATATCCAATTTCTTATTGATAAACATGAAAACAGTTCAAAAAAGTGTCAATCATTATTCAATCAGTACCAAGTAGCGGTGGGCAAAAAAACGTGTAACTGATTAACCGAATAAAAAAACCGAAAGACTGATGTATTTTTCTGTTAACCGTACCGAATATTTACGGTTAACCAACCGCATAGAAAAAGCGATACATGGTACGGTTACGGTTGAAATTATGTTAACATCGGTTAACCACTAACTGAAATTTTAAATATATTTTGCGGTTTAATGCACTAAACCCCTCTGTAATATGAAAATTCGGCGCATTAACCCCCTGTGATTTAAAAAATGCGTGAAACCCCCTTGTCTTTTAATCAATTATGCGCAAAATTCCTTCTATGAACAAATTCAATTCTCAAATAAAAGAAAAATGATTAACATTTTTGTATGATTTAGAGGTTTTGACATATTTACTTGCATAATCAAGTGAAATATGCCCTTAGCTTAATTAAGGGCACCCGCTAGGCTGCTACATGGTGGATTGCACAAGTGGTATATTATATACGTAGTATATTGTTGCTACGTGTTGCGTGCTCTACGTATTTTTAATTAGTTTTTAATAGAATGATTAGTTTTTAATCTTTTCTGTTGTAAATATTTATGGACTTTCCTAGTTAGAGTAAAAAATAGGATGAGCTTTTGTCCCTGGAGTACATTGGTCCACTATTACTATTATGAATTATTATTATTATTATTATTATTATTATTATTATTATTATCATCATCATCATCATCATCATCATCATCATCATTATCATTATTATTATCATTATTACTGTCATTGTCATTGTCCTTGTCATTGTCAGTGTCATTGTCATTGTCATTGTCATTGTCATTGTCATTGTCATTGTCATTATCATTGTTATTGTTATTATTATTGTCATTGTTATTGCTGTTCTTGTTATTGTTGTTCTTATTTTTATAATTATTATTATTATTATTTTTATTTTTATTTTTATTTTTATTTATGATTATTATTCTTATAATTATAACTATATATAATTATTATTCAATACATGCACAGAAAAATAAGCATATCCAGTAGGATTAGGATTCTCAGCCTTAAGGCAGAGTGCCTTACATCAATGGAGGGCTTTGATTTAATCCAAGGCCTTGAGATGTGTGAACAAAATGAGTCCCTTCATTTTCTACCCTATTATTTTTGATCTCAAGGTTAAAAATGGTCAGGCACTCTCCTTACCTGCCAAAGCAAGGCAGAGGACTAGAATAAAATCTCTCTAGACGTATTAATCTATTGTACTACTCTCGTTCTCTTTTAATTGCAACATTAAACTTTTTGCACTATTCATATATTCTACTTTGACTATATTTTATTTATTGGTGTATTATAAATTAAGTTTTTAAACAATATTCTTAAATTCTTTTCATTCTAAATTTTCAAAATCTGTTTTTTTAAATTTTTTACTAATAAGGAATGAAAGATATTAATGGTCAAACTTGTGCGTTGGCAAACGTGAAAAGTGAACCGTTATGATTAAAAAGGAACGGAGGAAGTACTTATTTAACGTATATGTTGAACATGACAATCTTATCATTAGTGAGCTTGTTACAAGCTAATTAAGGTACTGTACCTGCAATTTTTTAAAGGTACGTAGTTCTCACCTTAAAATTATTGGTTTCATAATTAATTAAAATAACTATCCGTAATTACTTTTTTAAATATGAGAATTAAAGGAAAGTTAGATGTGATTACTTTTGTAAAAACTGTCGAAGTCTGTTTATTAAAAACTGTCGAATTAATGGAAGTATATTTTTGGAGCCAAAAATAGTAAAAAAAATATTTTCTTAATTAAATATATGAAGTGTTCCAAAAAAAATACGTATATATGAAGCATTTTATAACTCCATAACTAATAATAATTATTGATTATGTAAATATGTAATTAATAGTTACAAGCTATAAGCCTTTGTACGTGATCCGATGACATCACTATAGCACTCACAAGGAAGAGGTCACGAGTTCGAATCTCATTCCAGTTTTAGTATGTTGGTCTTAACATAAAACATACGGAGTATATCTATACATAATAAAATGATACAAATATAAATATAATAATTGACAAAATTAGAAACATATAAATCAGAATCATTTAGACACATAAAAATAAAGATGGAATAATGAAATATTAAAATTAAAAAATAAAAAATAAATTCAATATCTTTGTCTTTATATATAGAGAATTATGGTGCGATTGCAAATACAATACTATTCCCTACCCACATAAAACTCCTAAGTTGCATTAAGTAAAAATTTAAGATATGACTCATTAAGTGTTCAGCGTTTTGAATGCTTTGAATGATTTTGTAAAATATGATACCATTGATATATTAAATGTAGTTTTTTTGCTATTATTATTACTAATTATTATTATGATTATTTATATTAATAGTATTATGATTTATTATTATTATTTATTTATTATTATTATTATTAATTATGATGGTGATGATGATGATGATGATGATGATTAAAAAATCGCAAACAAAAAAATCACAGCCGCCTCTGCCGCCCCAGCACCACAACATTCGGTTGCCGGGGGAATGACACATGCATTAGGAATGACATATTTATGGCAAATTCAATGAAAATTTTAGCATTCTCAAAGAGTAATATGCCTTTTTTGGCATTTTCATAAAAAGTGGCATTTTTTTAGAAAAATCAAAAGGAGGCGATTTTTCATGCTTTATCTGACGCACTTCACTGTGGATTTGCGTGTATTCGTCTGGTCGTATACAATCGTCATCCTGGATGTATGTAATTGATACTTCTATTATACTCTCTCCGTTTCACAATCTTTGACACGTTTTCCTTTTTTGGCTGTTTCACAATCAATGACACACTTCCTTATTTCCTTATTTGGTAAACAAATCTTTACCAAAACAGTACAAAACAGTGTCAAACAATGCCAAACAGTGTTCAAACAGTGCCAAACAGTGTACTCTACAGTAAAATTTACCCCTCAGTAACATTTTTTCCTTAATTCTTGACAAGTCAAACTGTGTCAAAGATTGTGAAACGGAGGGAGTACTACAATAAAGGGGTGAAAGCACATTCCCCTAATCCGAAATGTGCTATTAATTTTTTTTATTGAAAAACTTGTTTTGTACGTACATAGGCAGTACATTATAAATTTGAGTAAGTGAGTAAATAATGAGTACAGCTGTACAGTACATTATTACTCCTTCCGTCCCAGAATTATATTCATACTTTTCTTTTCGGTCTGTCCCAAATTTATCTTTTCTTTCCCTTTTTAGCAAAAAATTTGTGGTTCACAACCATTCTTACACATTCTTACACATTTCTCTTTCCTTTGCACAAATCTTCACCACATTTTCCACTATCTTAATCCGTGTGCCATTTATACTTCAGGAGATAAATACGGGGCGGAGGAAGTATTTTGATTAGATACGTACACTTTTTTAAAACATGCTATATATACAAATAATTCAATATAAATTTGTTAGTGAATTATTTTTAGGCACCCAAAAATAAGGAATTTTTTCAAAAAGTAAAGTTTGACCGATTTAATTTATTGTTGCAATCACTTTTGTAATCGAGGTATATTTTATATTTTATGATGAAGTGTTCTGAGTTTAATTGATTTGGATAATATGTACAAAAGTAAATAAATTTAGTGATATTTATAGTTGGAAAGACATGTATTATTTTATTAAATAAGAAATAATCAATTGTTATGTTAGAGATTGTAATAGTGAATTTACATATTCAATTATATTGTATTACGAATTTATTCAATGTTCCCGCAAAAATAAATAATATAAATATTTCATTACTCATTTCATCTTGAACAACAACATGACAAAGAAATACAAATTTTTATTCATTGAAAAACAGTTACAAAATACATATAAATTTTTACTCTTGTGTTCTCCTACTCGGACGCATATCCATTTCATTTGTAAATCGTGTCCTTTGAGGCCTACCGGTTTCACTGCGTTGAGCACTTTGAGGCGGTATCACTACATATCCGGTATCAGGCATCGCACTTACGTCATGCATAGGCATAATATCTGTAGCATACGTACGGATGTACGCACCTAATTTATACACGTCCGGGATGAGATGATCTACAGTTATTTCTAAGAAATGGCATGTTGCATAGGCGTGCACACATGGAAATCCATTTTGCTTCCAAAAACCGCAATCACATTCGCAACGTGAGAGATTTACCGTTACTGGCGGATAATCACGAATGGAAACAGAGTATATTCCCGTTGTTCGGTTATGCGGGACAATAGTGCACTGATGTCTTTTCTGCGAACGTTCAAGAATATCTTTCCATATATTTTGCGGATATAGGAACCCAGCTTGCCGCCACACATCTGACCCGCCTGAATGTGCCACATACACATGTCATCATAGATGCAAACTGCCTTCCACGATCTCACACGTTTGTCTTCTGTCTTAAAAATTCGAGATTGCCGAATATTTTCTATTGCTACGGCTTCTTTCAGTAAGTCGTATATTTTGCCGACCGCAATAGTTTCATTATCACGATTTGCTGGTTCAACATATGGTTGTTCCAGCTCAATATCGGCCCATGTCGTGTCATGAGCGTCATCACTATCGTCAGAATTTGTTGTTGCATCGTCATTTCCAGAAAATTGTTCATAATTTGGATCATCTTCCTCTTCATATGCTGTTGAAGGGCCATCTTCATGTTCAACAGTATGCGGGTTGTAGCGTCCGCCGTATCTCATTGATGGTCCGTCATCGTTGGAGTGGATATTGTGAAAAGTTTCACAATTGTGGGTGTCACCTCCTCCATATGTTGATATTTGTGGTTGGACTATAGAGGTTCTTCGTGCATCTAGAAAAATATGAAATTCTCCATACTCTCTTTCAGCAAGTCGAAAAAAGTGCTTCCAAGTATCATCATCATGGATGGGTCACAGTCTTGATGCCACATACACACGATTTTTGTACTTTGGTAATTTTCCGTGAATGGATACAATTTCTCCAAAACCTCTCTGCGCACACTCTTCGACAATCCGCTCGTTTATAGCGTTAAAATCATCGTCATTGCTGATTAACAGTGCTGCGCTCGGAGGAATGGAATACTCTATTTCATCATCTTTCATAATAATAGAACCATTCCAGTGGACACAAACTGGAGTGTTATGATCAGTTGCCATTTTTTTGTATATGGTAAGTAATATCGTAGAAAATATAGGGAGTTGATGATAGATAGCTAGGAACTCTAAGGTGATAAATAGATAGCAAGAATATGGTGACTGAGGATAGTGATGAGCCTTTTATAGTAAAAAAAAATTAGTACTTCGTAGGAAAGGTGTGTGTAATTTCTTTAAGTTGTGGGCTAATTATTTCTATTGTTATATATTTAGTATGACATATATCAACAATCTTAATAGCAATTAAGATTAATTACATATTAACATTAAGATTTTCGAAATATTCAGGCTGACATAACACAACCAGTACAAAAAATTAATGGTAAAGAGTAAATATATAATTAAAATTCTAACCTTTCTTTGAAGAACTCGGAGAATAGAATTAGCAACAACACTCAATAGTTTTTTGTAACTAAATTTATTTTTATCGTAGTAGGCTGAATATGATGTTGAAGTGATTTAAATAGGTTAAGTTTGAGATTGGGAGTATGGATTTCCGTGCAAAACAGTGGACAATTGGGATGAGTTTGTTAAATCCTACGGTTGAAAAATGAACTGAAGAAGCACGATCCGGGTAGATTTGTTCTGGCCAATCCGGGAGGCTTCAAATTTCGGATTAGTGAAATCCGAATTTCATTGCTTCTGACCAGGCCACAATACTCCTGACAATCATGGCTGCATTACTTGCACTCCTGACAACCGATTGTTTCCTTTTATTTGGTTTTAAAAATTTCGGATTCACCAAATCCGTTTTCTCACCCCAAATAAAACCCAAAGTCGGATAAGGAGAATCCGAAAAGAGAGATTATGACAGCTCTGCCTTGCCTTTTGCGTCCAACTTAGAAACTCATTCAAAAACCTAGAAAATTCGGATTAGCCAACTCCATTTCTCGTAAATTCATACCCTAATTGTGACATTCGTATTTTGGGAATGGACGCATGAAAGTCCCGTAAATCCATCCTTTTCTCACAATAAAGACTAGTTACAGAAGATGCCTTAATTATTAAATTCATCATTATTATTATTACTATTATTAGTACTATTATTAGTGCTTTATTATTTTTAATAAAACACTAGTAGATGTTCATCGGCATCTATCCGATTGATGAGTGGTTTGATCAACGGGATTTATATTACTATTATTAGTATTATCATACTCCAAAATATTTTTATATCCATTGTTGATTGTTTACCCATGCATCTTCCATTCCATATGTGGGCATAGGTTATGGATAGTGGGGTGAGAAAGCACGCCCTGAATGGTACTGCTGCTTCCAACTCTGATCTCGTGCTGAAACACATTACCCAGATTCTACTAGAGGAGGAGGAGAGCATTGATGGGCCCCTTGGTCTCATTGCTCTTAAAGCCGCTGAGAAATCATATTACGAAGCATTGCATGATAATCTTTCCTCATTGTTTCACATCCATGCCGGAAGAAGCTCTTGGAATGATAATGTTAATGGTATTGTTGATCCCCGAGAATCAGAATCATCATGTGTGACATCTAACACAAATTTAGCAATGTCCAATACGACAGAGGTAAATTAGCTAACTTTGTCATATTGAAGGTATGAAATTTGTGAAAATTGAAATGATACATATGCTAACCATATATAAATATATTTTTCGTATAAGTAAGTTTCTTTTTCTATGAATATTATAAAATTAAATCCAAAAGAAAAAATATGACTAATTTTAAATTTTTCTTAAAAAATGAAATATTCAGTGACTAGTTCCGAGTGACTCTTCATCAATGAGTGCCCTGTCACTCTAGAATATACTATAGTGACTTTTATCCAGTTACTTGTACACATTTATTAGTCATATTTTTATTTAAAAAGCATAACCACTCATATTTTTGTTCAGAGAAACTCTATTAATATTATACATGTCATTTTTTCTTATTTATTTATATCATAAAGATGGTGAGTGAAGATAAATACAAAGTATTTTAATAAATATTAAAACTTATTCTACTCATTTTTTGTTTTTTTTTTATTTGAACCAAACCAAATCAAAGCATTTAGTTTGACAAAATTGCTACCAATCAGTTTAGAGTTTTTTCCATTTTTGGTCCCCGACTATTATGTCAATGACACTTTTGGTACTCGACTTCTAATTTTTTCATTTTTAGTCCCCGACTATAGTGCTAGAGACACTTTTAGTCTCCGACTTCAAGATTTTCCACATTTAGTCCCTAAGTATTGTCAAATCGACACTTTTAGCCCCCCATTATGATTTTGACACAATAAGTGGAGGACTAAAAATGTCATTATTAAAATAGTTGAAGGATCAAAAGTGTCACTTTTATGAAAGTTGAAGGACTAAATATGGAAATTTTCAAAGACGGGTATCAAAAGTGTCTCTAGCGTAATAGTCAAGGACTAAAAATGGAAAAAATCAAAGTCGAGTACCAAAAGTGTCAATGACATAATAGTCGGAGGATTAAAAGTGAAAAAAAAATCAGTTTACTTCATTGAATCCCAACCAAATCAAAGTACCAATTTTGATTTTCGAACAAAACTGTTTTGCTCCACCCTAGTTTTAGCACACTAGTGTACGTATTCATCTACTACGGAAAATAACTTGTCCAGCTGTCGAGACAGGACCCTCCGGTGGAATGTTTTGATCAAATTTTGCAAGCATGTTATTCTTGAAGTGTAGATTATGTTCATAAAAAATCAGCTTAACAGTCAATCGGGAAGGAAGTTGAATAAATTCATGAAAAACATTGCGCCAATCTACACACATGTTATACTTTAAGCTGAACATTTATGAACCTAATCTACACACTTCATAAGAAACATGATCACAAAATTTCATCAAAACATTCTAGCGGATTGAATATATATTGGCACATTATTTTGCAATAATTTATTTAACTTCCTTCCCAATTGAATTGTAACATGAAATTTTATGGACATAAGCTGTACACTTCATAAAAAACATGCTCACAAAATTTAATCAAAATATTCCCCCGGCTATGTTGCACAGACATGGATACGCTGATACCTCGATACGCGAATACGGGTGCGGTGATACGACAACTTCAAAAAATATAGGATATGAGTACATGGGTATATTTATAAATAATAATAGTTACGGTATAATTTGCATATATATGTACTACATAGATCCATGAATAAAATAATAATAGTACCAAAAACAACAATTATAATAAATTTTCAAAGATTAGACTAAAAAAACTAAGGTACGGATATTTTCGATTTAACTTCAAATAATATTTTTGGTTCTCTATTTGCATTTACATCTAAGTCTTTTAACAATACTGATTTTAATTAAAGTCCATCAAACGACAAATTGGCAAATTATAGTATTACAGTATTTTCTATACTCCCGAAATCATCTTTATCAATGTTCCACATCTTGTGGTTGCTTGGGCGGCTACGAAATTTTCATTATGTCGCGTGTGAAATCATGGTTATATGGTTAGATATGTGTAACTGTTTACGGATACGGGTATCGGAAGTATTTATATTTTTGAAAAAAAACTTCAATACTTTTAGTAAATTGCGGATACGAACCCAATACGTATTGGACGCGTATCAATAAGTATCGGTATCGGACACATCGGTTCCGTGGATACGACATCGAGATGAAGTATCGGCGCACCATAGGCGGCCAGACTCCAGACGAGCGCCCTCATGATCTCCTGACTTTGGAGCTCAAGTAAGCGCAAGGTCAGGCGTCCGTTCGGCCCACACCGTAAGCTTCCTCCGAGGCTCTTGAATCATCGCATGGACCCATTCGGGCAAGGGTGATCAAGCCGAGCGTCCCGGGGAAAGGAGTCAAGGACTGACGTCCGATGGGTTCTTCGTTAGGCCGCTTCCCCCGGACCTTGGTTGATTACTTGCCAAGGGTTAATGAGCCGTTCCTATATCGGGCCAATTAACCCAATGCAACACACATATTCATTACTCAGCATTTTTTTAAAATGATAAATTTATTTAGAACATCATAAATCTCGTCAAATTTTGTTGGAGACTAAGATATGTGCATGTCTTAGTGGGCACCGTTTTACTTGTAAGGTTCAAATGTGAACCACAAAATTAGAAATTGTTTAGTTCACCTAATAGGAATATAATGGTTTTGATCTTAAGTTTTAGCTTATTCGGATCTATATAATCTGATTTTTTTATCTGAATCATTCTTATTTGATCAACTAATAATTGTTTAGAAATTGTTTAAGTCTTAGTTCAGCTAAATGTATATTCGGTAATAGTGTAAAATTTTATATACAATTATTTATTATGAAAACAACTAATACTCTGTAAATAACTAACAAACCAATCTTTGAAAAAGAGTACCCAACGAATAGTTGAATACCCAAAGCATGGTTTTGAGGCTTTTTTAAGAGTTAAAAGTGTTGTACATCGAGAGTGTACATTGTACAACCAGCTGTACCATGCACACGGTATAGCAAGGTACGCATTTATGAATTATGAGTATTGATATTAAATCACTGTATTGGTAACACAATTGAGTATTAGAAACATGCAATTGAGTATCATAATCTACACGTAATATATATGCTACAAATAAACTTATTTAATTAACTATATTATCATTGTATTATTATCAAAATATTTATTTTGCTAATTTTATAACTTAATATACCAATAATTTTTTCTTTTGACATAAAATACTCGGTTGTACCGTGTGCACCGTACAACCGGTTGTTCGATATATTTTGTCTTGTACAGCTCGATGACATGTGTTAGTCCCTGTTTCTTTAACAGCAATGAATAATCGATCTAACAAAGGAAGATTAAACGTAAAGATGAACACAGAATGAATCACCGTAAAACCTTCTTTGATAAACCGTGGAACGTACAGCAGAATGATATAAGCGTAAGGCTATGAATAATAAGTACGACGTTCAACCTTTTCCAAAACCTCGGCTCCCTTTTTATAGGCGAGGTTTAGGTTAGGCGTACCAGGCTTTTGGCCTGTTTAAATGGGCCTAACACTTGGCCTTATTTTTATCTAATTTATGCACTATTTAAATACAAGGATTAAATATAAAGCTAATCTATGACCAACTTGATTCACAATAAAATATCTCCAACAATCTCCCCCTTTGTGATCAAGTGCCATTCTCTTATTTCTTCTGTGATTTGAAGTAGTGCTTCCTCAAACCAAGTGCATGTTCATACTGCCTCAGCATATTTCTCTTTTCGAGGCGATCGTCAATGGCTTTTAAAATTTTCTCTACAGTAGAGTGTTCCTTTTGAACATAAGACGATGCCTCTTGAAGATTTTCTTCCAGCTTTGCCTTCATCTGTAGAATCTGCTCTCTGATTATCTTCAGTGTTCCGTCGCAGTACTTCTCGATTTCACTGACTACCATCAGACGCTTTTCGTTCTTGTGGTTCAGATAGGTGACTGCTGGCGGTGTGAAGAAGATGTGGTAGGCTGGGAAATCTTCAAGTTCTGGACCATACAGTTTTGGCTTTGTCAGATTTGTCTTCTTTAGATTGCATTCAATAGCCATCTGTAGGTCATGTGAAGAATGTACTCGGATTTGTCTGAGCATGAATCTCTTGATAGCTGCAAGGCCTTCGCTGTAAACTATGCTCTGTCTGACTGGAAGGTATCTGTAGGCCATGAGCATTTGGTAGATGTCATCCGGTTTCAGCATGATAAAGTCGTTCTCTTGACAAGTAAATTCGCTCCCATCGGTGCGTTGAAGTCTGTAAGTGTAGAATGTTACTCCATGGTAGTCTTCAACCTTTACTTGCAGAATTTGATGAATCGGGAGAATATTCGACTTCAGATCTTGTTCCATCAGTTCTCTCTGTGTACCAGTTGACCTTTGTAGCAACATATGCAGATGACCTCCAGCCTGTTTTCCTTTCAAGTGTGTAGGGCCTCTTAGCTTCAGTTCGTTCAGTGGCTTGACTTTGTCTGGTCTACGCCAGATATGCTCTCTGATTTCTTCTTGGAAGGGGGCTTTGATTCGAACGTTGTCCCAGGGTTTCTCTGTCTTGGGAAGTCTTCCCGCTGATTGTCTTACGACTGATTCAAGAGCTTTCTGGGATTCCTTTTAGTTCTCCCCTTCCTTGCGTTCATCGTCCTCGAGCCGTATAATATCTTCAGAGCATTTGTTAATCAGCTCTCGTAGCCACCAGTTTCTTTGCATGTCTTCTTGCTCGGCTTCAACCCGGAGATCATCCCATTCTGTCCATTTTCTCGGCCATTTGTCGTATATCACCGCCTCCTCCAGTGCATCATGGATGTCTTTGCCTGGGGGGATGTATGGAACTCTTTGCTGCTTTTGAGGCGGTGATTGTTCCTTGGTAACTCTGCCGGGTTCACTTGGATTGCCCGTTGGCATCAGCTTAGAACTAGGTTCCAACTGATGGCCTGATGTGAAGGATGTACCAGTGGTAGCATCATCAGGACTTCCATCCCCTCCTCGAACAGTATCTCTGGGAGATATGCCTCGGGATGTTTTGTCTAGCTCGACCACGCTAGAGAGATAGGCTTGGTTTTGGCAAGGGGATGGTGGTGGTTGG